CGGTTCTCAGTTATGGGACACGTCTCCTATAATACAGTTATAATTTATGGGACTTGTCTCCTATAATGCAGTTATAAGTTATGGCACACGTCTCCTATAATACAGTTATAAGTTATGTTACACGTCTCCTATAATACCGTTATAAGTTATGGCACACATCTCCTATAATACAGTTATAAGTTAAGGGACACGTCATCTATAACTGTATTATAGGAGACGTGTCCCACGACTTATAAATGTATTATAGGAGACGTGTGCCATAACTCATAACTGCATTATAGGAGACAAGCCCCATAAATTATAACTGTATTATAGGAGACGTGTGCCAAAACTATAGGAGACGTGTGCCATAACTCATAACTGCATTATAGGAGACAAGCCCCATAAATTATAACTGTATTATGGGACACGTCTCCTATAATCGGTTCTCAGTTATGGCACACGTCTCCTATAATACATTTATAAGTCGTGGGACACGTCTCCTATAATACAGTTATAAGTTAAGGGACACGTCATCTATAATACAGTTATAAGTTATGGGACACGTCTCCTATAATACAGTTATAAGTTATGGGACACGTCTCCTATAATACAGTTATAAGTTATGTGACACGCCTCCTATAATACAGTTATAAGTTATTGTACACGTCTCCTATAATCCAGTTATAAGTTATGGGACACGTCTCCTATAATACAGTTATAAGTTATGGTACACGTCTCCTATAATAGAGTTATAAGTTATGGGTCACGTCTCCTATAATATAGTTATAAGTCATGGGACACGTCTCCTATAATACAGTTATAAGTTATGGGACACGTCTACTATAATACAGTTATAAGTTATGGGACACGTCTCCTATAATACAGTTATCAGTTATGGGACACGTCTCCTATAATATAGTTATAAGTTATGGCACACATCTCCTATAATACAGTTATACGTTATGGGACACGTCTCCTATAATACTGTTATAAGTTATGCGACACGTCTCCTATAATACAGTTATAAGTTATAGGACATGTCTCCTATAATGCAGTTATGAGTTATGGGACACGTCTCCTATAATACAGTTATAAGTTATGGGACACGTCTCCTATATTACAGTTTTAAGTTATGGGGCACGTCTCCTATAATACAGTTATACGTTATGGGACACGTCTCCTATAATACAGTTATTAGTTATGGGACATGTCTCCTATAATGCAGTTATAAGTTATGGGACACGTCTACTATAATACAGTTATAAGTTATGGGACACGTCTCCTATAATACAGTTATAAGTTATAGTATACGTCTCCTATAATACAGTTATGAGTTATAGTACACGTCTCCTATAATACAGTTATGAGTTATGTGACACCTCTCCTAAAATACAGTTATAAGTTATAGTACACGTCTCCTATAATACAGTTATAAGTTATAGGACATGTCTCCTATAATGCAGTTATGAGTTATGGGACACGTCTCCTATAATACAGATATAAGTTATGAGACATTTCTCCTATAATACAGTTATAAGTTATAGTATACGTCTCCTATAATACAGTTATGAGTTATAGTACACGTCTCCTATAATACAGTTATGAGTTATGTGACACGTCTACTATAATACAGTTATAAGTTACGGGACACGTCTCCTATAATACAGATAAAAGTTATGAGACATGTCTCCTATAATACAGTTATAAGTTATAGTACACGTCTCCTATAATACAGTTATGAGTTATGTGACACGTCTCCTAAAATACAGTTATAAGTTATAGTACACGTCTCCTATAATACAGTTATGAGTTATGTGACACGTCTACTATAATACAGTTATAAGTTATGGGACACGTCTCCTATAATACAGATATAAGTAATGAGACATGTCTCCTATAATACAGTTATAAGTTATAGTACACGTCTCCTATAATACAGTTATGAGTTATGTGACACGTCTCCTATAATACAGTTATAAGTTATGTGACACGTCTACTATAATACAGTTATAAGTTATAGTACACGTCTCCTATAATACAGTTATGACTTATGTGACACGTCTCCTATAATACAGTTATAAGTTATGTGACACGTCTACTATAATACAGTTATAAGTTATGGGACACGTCTCCTATAATACAGTTATGACTTATGTGACACGTCTCCTATAATACAGTTATAAGTTATGTGACACGTCTCCTATAATACAGTTATAAGTTATGGGACACGTCTCCTATAATACATTGTCAGAAAGTGAAGTAAACCATGTGTTTATTTGTTTGAGTGGTTTTACGTCCGCTTCACTGCCGAGTAGTTTGGTTATTCAGCAGACGACAAGTAAATCCTGTTTATCTTATATTTTTATAATAGCTTGTGTTTTATATAACTGGATGTTCCTTTCATTATAATTCCAGGTATCTCTACGGTTGCCCACATGCGGTTCTTCACCAGCGCCATCGACCCTATAGAGGGCCGTGGGGAACACCTCCTTGAGGTACACAAACGATACATACAGAACACAATGGAACAGCTCACGTTACATATATTGTCCTCCATTCTTCTATCATCATTCCTCTCACCAGAATCAATGACAATCATACCGATCCGCGTGTTTCTGTTTGTCCTTGGCCGAGTGACGTTTTGGTACGGTTACATGAAGTCCCCGGTAAAGAGGGCCTTTGGTTTCCAGATGACGTTCGGCCCCAGTGTTGCATCGTTGTTATACTGTGCGTTCTGTTTTTGTAATTCAGGTCCTGCGTTTGGTCTACACGAAACCTGAGGCACGTGACACATCATTTTAGCTTTGACTTTAAATAATATCTACTGTGGCAGCAAAGCAGGAGACCAAATGCTACGTACCACAGGGACCAGATAATTTGTTACAGCTATATAGATTTAAAAATTATCAGGTCCCTGTGCTTCATACAAGATGCAGCACTGCGGTATGAATAGATGAAACAATAGGACTGCAAAGACACGCATACCTCACGATACGATACGTATCGCGGTACGATGCTTACGACACGATACGTACCACGATACAAATATCTGCTTAAAAGGTCAACTTTATGATGACTAAGTGCAGGATTTTATCGAGTTTTGTCATAGCCTTCAATACATACTATCAAAATATATTTTTGTTTAATTTTTAGTACGTTTTGGTATGACTGCTAAGTGAACCACATCTTTACTGAAGGATTAAAAAAAATAAGAACACTTTTTAGAGTTTGATAAACTTTGGTTGATTATTTAAGTTCTGTAAATGTATCGCGATACAGGCAGACAGAACAAATCGATACGATACACAAGAAAGTATCGCGATACGATACGATATGTCGTAGCAGTCCAAGAGGACAAATGATCTTATTTGATAGAAAACGTAAGACTACATCATATACACGCGTATAACTGTCTGTGTAGCACAATAACACAATGCTTTTTCAATGAATTGATTGCTGGGTAACCACTGGAATAACAGTGTAGAAACTCGGATGTGTTGAGGTACTGACATTGGGATGCTGGTCTAAGGCGGTATTCTGAGTGTGAAAATACAATGGGGCAAGATGCTGATTCGAACCCAAAACCTGGACCACTGATCATCATTCTGTCGCTCTAACCAACTCGGCTACTTTGTCAACGGTACTTCGAAGTTTCTCTTTGATTGAATTAAAATCCTGTTGATACCGAAAACTAACAGGAAGGTTCCTTCCTGTTCGGACTGAAAAGACATATATCTAAAATACATATATAATGGGCACTAGATGAAATGCGATTTTTATGATACATTTCTTCATATAAAAGAGTCGGTTTTGCCAAATAACATTTTATGTTTATAAAATACCATGATTATCTTTCTCGTGTCCGTGGAAATAATGTGATTTAGAGGAATGTATAGTAGTCAACACAGTATACTGACGTACAGGTAGGAAACACCAACATGTGATAGTATCTATTGAATAACTCCACCGGAAACAAGGAACATCTTACAAGTGGTGGAATTCTTTTTGTAAGAAAATGTGCATACAATGATGTGTTGACATTTACATACAATATGTAAACTAAAATGTGTATGTAAATCGATGTATGTACATGTAGTTAGTTGTTCTCCTAAAGATATATATTTAGTATCTGTTTTAATACAACCTTGCCAGTGTAAATAATTACGGGTTAATAACTACAGCTGCTATGATCAGGTTATGAGAACCGTTAAACCTCGTTATAACGCCTTATCTTGTTTTTTTTGTTTTTTTTTAAATGGTGTTATAAAGCTGTTTGGCGATGAGTTGAGGGAAACGTATAAATAATACTGAATACTACTATACATTCCTCTAAATTACATTTACATACAATAAAGTAAAACGATCTTAAAAAGCAAACGTATATGTTGGCGGTAAGTGAGGTGGGAATGGAACGAGGGGCATTATATCGAGGTTTTGCTGCAGTAAAGTAAATAGCAGACAAACAAATTGCATGATGATAGGATATACACCGATCTGTCGAACGTAAACTTTGAATGTTAAAGATCAGCTTTGCCTTTAACCCTTTCGTTCGTTCGATGCCATTTTTATCTTTGATTTTGTCGACCATTTCCTGGCCCTAATAACATCTACTTTGTTGAGGGCCCATGCCGTTAAGCACGTTATACTAATAATATGTTATCTTTGAAATCTGGATATCAGCGTTCGGAAGAAAACACTGTCGACTTTCGTGAAGAAACGTAACGTAAGCCCATTATAGAAAGATGCGTTAAATTAATATACGCATACCGCAACGAAAACAACCATGTTCATTATTAGATTTTATTATAAATTTTACAATAACGGAAGTGACGTTCTAACTGATCAGTGGGCATTACCAAGAGGATAACGTAGATGGTCCTCATGCTAACTATTATTGGTTAAATATACTTACCTTTTTAATGAATAATACATTTTTGTTGTTTAGGAAATAAAACTCTATTTGAAAAGTGAGGTTTTGTTTTATTGACACGAATTACTTAATTTACCGTAAAACACATTTCGAGGGTGCTACAAACACCGTGTTCATGAAGAATTTTAGGTGATTTACGGTAACGATACATGTTACTACCAGATCAGGAACATCGGCTGTATTCGGCAGTTTCTAACTGCAGATGCATGCAAGATTTTCGTGCATTCACTTGTTACCTCTCGGTTGGATTATGGTGACGCCCTGCTCTGTGGTATAACTGACAAACTAACTAGTCGTCTGCAGAGGGTCCAGATCACTGCAGCACGGCTAGTTACTCGTACTCGAAAGTGAGAGCACATCACACCTGCGCTTTATTCGTTGCACTGGTTACCTGTACGATACTATTCTATGTATCTCCGACACTTGGCGCTGGATATCCGCGTCACACCAGTGTCCCCTTGTTGGGCTCCGTGGCGGGGGGAGGCATAGATCGTGAAACAAACAAAAATACACATGGGTAAAGATAAAAATCACCAAAACGACGGACATACCAAAAACCGGAACGATGACTTTAGCTCAAAAACAACACAAAACGCAACACAGAACACCCAATTCCCGCAATTCCTTGTGATGACCTCCACACAGAGTGGTAAAACAACGGCCGCGTTGTCGCCACTTCTGTTGAGGAAGGGCATCCAGGGAATCGCAGGGGATGTGAAATCCGTTAAGCCATTGGGATCGGGCGATCTCCTTATAGAGGTTTATCGCCAACAACAGGCGATGAACCTACTCGGAACAACCAGTTTTGCCGGCATCGGTGTCAGTGTGAAACCACACTCATCACTTAATTGCAGCAAGGGGGTAATCAGGTGCCCAGCCTTGCGCAATGACACCGATGAAGACATACTGGCATATTTCCAGGAGGAGAGCGTCCCGGTCTCTGAGGTGAGGCGGATGGTGATCAGGAGAAACAATGATACAATCAAAACAAACACCTTCATCATCACTTTTTCAACGCCAACACTACCCCAAATACTAACAATCGGATACCAGAGGTACAACGTTTCCGTCTACATCCCAAATCCATTGCGATGCCGAAACTGTCAGAAGTACGGTCATCACGAAAAGCGATGTAGACGAAAATCGATCTGCCAGTATTGTGGCCGTGAGGGTCACACCGAGCAAAATGACTGTGACATCGCCAACCTGCGCTGTGTCAACTGTGAGGGGAAGCACGCTGCCTCTTCTCGCGACTGCCCTACCTGGAGCCAGGAGAGGGAGATATTACGGGTTAAATATACCCGAGGTGTCTCTTTCCCCGAGGCCAGGAGGATAGTCAGGAGTGCAGACATTACTACACCCTCTTACGCACAGGTGACTCGAGGCAAGGCGCCGGTTGACAGTGTCACGGTCAAGGATGCTTCGGTTCAAGTTTCTGCAGACATACCTGCCTGGGGCTCACAAGTCCCAGACATGGCTGGGCAACAGAACTTGAAAATCCTCACGGGGGACCCATCCCGTTTCACGACTTTAACCAAACCAACCAAACCAAACAACCTGTCAAAAGCAGCATCACCTTCAAAAACAGCATCTTCATCAAAACCAGCAACACCATCAAAACCAGCACCACCATCAACAACACATTCCTCTTCAGGAGAAAACCCTCCAAAGGTTGGCCCATCTAGGGCACAGATGCGGTCGCAGCGATCTCGCTCACTCACATCTGTTCCTCGGTCCCAACTGAGGCAAAACGTAACATCACCTACCAACAGACCTAGGAAAAAAAATAGAATAGCGAGGGGCAAATCTGATGGACCTGATCTGAATGTCACCTTTGGCAAAGTATCAGAGAACCCGACAAACCGGTTCAATGTCCTACTAGATTTCGATGATGAGATGGAGACGAATGCCTCAGCGCTTCGACTCCATCGAAATCCAGCCAAAATAGCAAAAGATAAATAATACAATTATCCAATGGAACATCCGCGGATTAAAGGCAAATATAGAAGAATTTCAGAATCTATCAAAAGAATTTAGACCCGCCATTTTTTGTCTACAAGAAATCATGCTCAAAAACCCAATCACGCTTAGAAATTTCTCACTCTACACTAACATTCCAACTGTAGTTAGCAGAGCAGCAGGTGGCGCAGCGGTAGCTGTCCATAAAAATATTCCTCACAGAATGATCAAGTTAAACACAAATTTACAGGCTGTTGCTGTCTGTGCAACATTACACAGACAAATAACCGTCTGTTCAATTTATCTCCCTCCGAGTATTGTTTTCACTTGTGAGCAACTCAATAATCTCGTCTCCCAGCTCCCAACACCATTCATAATCCTCGGTGATTTTAATGGTCATAATAGCCTGTGGGGCTCTCCCAACACAGACGAGAGAGGAAGACGTATTGAGGAATTTATAGATAAAAACAACTTGTGCCTTTTTAACAACAATACCCCTACTTATTTACACCCTGCTACAGGCTCTCGTACCCACATTGATCTATCATTATGCCATCCATCCATTTTACTTGACTATGACTGGAGGGTAAATGATGATCTTTGTGGGAGTGACCACTTCCCAATTTTTCTTCAGAATATTGGGACTCCTCTTGATGATCCTCTACCTCGATGGAATATGCACAAAGCAGATTGGGCCCAATTCCAACACATGTGCATTGAAAAACTAACCATAGACAATTTTACTAACCTCGACGACCCTATCAAAACTTTTACTGAAACACTCACTTCAATTGCCCAAAAGACAATTCCAAAATCCGCTCCAAAACCTACGAAGTTCCTTTTATCTGAAGAATCTTTTGAAACACGCAGTAATCGGGCAGCTGCTCTAAGACGCTACTTCAATTGCCCAACTGCTTCAAACTACAGTGAATTTAAAATTTGGCGGGCAAAGGCTCGGCGATCAATTAAAATTGACAAAAGAAACAGCTGGAGAGAATATGTATCCAAGATATCATCAAACACGTCCTCCAAAAAAGTATGGGATATGATTCGGAAAATAAGTGGGAAAAAGAAAAAGGCAACATCCTCCCACCTCATTAATAAAAACAAAATTTTCTCGTCTATAACTGAAATTGCTGATGCATTTGCAAAAAACATAGCTAAAAACTCATCCCCTTTAAACCACTCCCAAAAATTCCAGTCTTTGAAAAAAAAGAGAGAAAAGAAACGGCTCAATTTCAAATCATCAAACAAAGAAAGTTATAATGAACAATTTACCCTACCAGAACTTGTTGATTCGCTTAGAAAATCACAGGACACTGCTTCAGGTCCTGATGATATTCCATATCAATTTCTAAAGCACTTACCGGACTCTTCACTAACATGCCTTCTTTACATATTCAACCAAGTTTACGCTTCCGGAAAGATTCCCGATTCGTGGAAGAACTCCACAATTATACCTATCCCAAAACCGGGAAAGGATGCCACTGACCCAAACAACTATCGTCATAACTCTCTGACTAGTTGTGTATGTAAAACTTTAGAACGAATGATAAACACTAGACTGGTTTGGTTTCTTGAGGCCAACGATATAATATCCCCTCTTCAAAGTGGCTTTAGAAATAGAAGAGGGACAAATGACCATCTCATCAGATTAGAGACGTTCATTCGAGAGGCTTTCGCCAAGAAAGAACACCTTGTCGCCGTGTTCTTTGATCTTGAGAAGGCCTATGATACTACATGGTAGTATGGCATCATGAAAGATCTTCACGACCTTGGCGTACGTGGAAACCTTCCCAATTTTATATCTAATTACCTACCAGATAGACACTTCAAAGTCCGTGTTGGTTCAACTTTTTCTGAAACGTCTAAACAGGAAATGGGAGTCCCACAGGGTGGAATCCTATCAGTCACACTATTTGGACTTAAAATCAATGATATAGTAAAATGTCTTGGTCAATCAACAGAAGGGTCGTTATTTGTGGATGACTTCTTGATCTGTTACAGATCTAAGAACATGCACACGATAGAACGACAACTTCAACAGAGTTTAAACAAACTACAAAATTAGGCAGACGAAAACGGCTTCAAATTCTCTAAATCCAAAACTGTGTGCATGCATTTCTTTCAAAAACGAAAAACACACAATGACCCAAATCTAACACTCGATGGGACTAGAATTCCTGTTGTTGAACAGACTAAATTTCTCGGCCTCATTTTTGATTCGAAACTCTCTTTCATACCACATATAACGTATCTGAAGGATAAGTGTTCCAAGGCGTTAAACATTATACGAGTCCTTTCTCATACTGATTGGGGAGCGGATCGTGAAATGCTTTTGCGCCTATACAGATCACTTGTTCGAACAAAACTGGATTATGGTTCTATGGTATACGGGTCGGCGCGCAGTTCGTACCTTCAGATGCTAGACCCTATTCATAACCAAGGGCTACGTCTAGCCCTTGGAGCTTTTCGAACAACACCTGTAAAAAGCCTGTACGTGGAAGCAAAAGAACCATCCCTTTATGACAGAAGAATAAAACTTTCATTATAATTTGCAGCTCAATTAAAATCAAACCCTAAAAATCCTGCCTTCAACCAAGTATTCAAGAACTCAACATAAAATTGACGAACATAGCTGAATTTAACATATCTGATGTCCCTCCGTGGACCATTCAAACCCCTGATTTTAACTTTACATTACATGATTTTTGTTTGTTTGTTTGATTTTGTTTAACGTCCTATCAACAGCTAAGGTCATTAAAGGTCGGCCTCCCCTGTGTGCAAGATGTATGCGTGTAGTGTATGTGTGAGCGAGGGAAATCAAGTGTTATGCCCAAACAACACAAATCCTCCTTTCGGGAATGCATTTCGAATTACCCTTCTCATACACAACTTTACACCGAAGGCTCCAAAGAAGGTGAGAAAGTGGCAGCAGCCTGCTGTACTGCCAATACTTGCACTTCAGTCCGACTACCAGACGGCGCCTCCATCTTTTCTGCTGAAGCATGCGCCATTGGTTTGGCCCTCGACCATATCGATGAACACCGCATTAAAAAGGCAATTATTTGTTCAGACTCTCTATCTGTCCTACAGAGTTTACAGTTACGAGATCCTAAAAACACAATCGTACAAAACCTTGCTCTTCGAATATCTCGTATATTAAAAAAGTCTAAAATAACTTTACTATGGATTCCGAGCCATGTCGGAATAAAAGGCAACGAATTTGCTGACAGGGAAGCAAAAAATGCATTGAATCTCGAACAAACAAATATCAAACTACCATACACAGATTTTAAACCTACTATTCGTACAGCCATTCAAAATGAATGGCAGAAACGCTGGTCTCTGGAGACCAACAACAAACTTTTTAAGATACAACCGAAACTTAAAACATCTATTCCCAGTCGGAAAGATCGTAGAGAGGAAGTTGTCCTCGCTCGGCTCCGCACTGGGCACACATATCCCACTCATTCGTACCTTTTAAAACAGGATATACCTGTGACACTCTATTTACAGTGGAACATTTTTTAATAGAATGTTCCGATTTTAAACACATTCGTGATAACTACTTCCGAGTACCGGATATGAAAACACTTTTCAGTTCCGTGGATTCGAAGGCATTATTTAACTATTTGAAAGACATCGGTCTATTTTATAGACTCTGATGTCTTTTAACCCACCTTATCATTTTTGACGTTATATATATATATCGCATATTCCATAACATCTATTCGTTATCTCTTTTATTATTTAACCCCCTTTTTTATTTTTTATTATCTACACATACAATGCGAATGTTTTTAAAATGAACCATTTTATCTGATTTTATCTTCGCTATTCACATGTTTGTTAAAAAAAATAAGATAAATAAATAAATCACCATGGCCCTAAATGACCTTAGCCGTCGATGGGCCGTTAAACATAAACAAACAAACGATACAGGTCGCAGTACAAAATTCTGGTTTACACATACAAGGCACTGAATTGAACAGCTCCTCAGTACCTACAGGAGCTTGTTAGCCTGTATCAGCAGTCAAGATCACTGCGGTCGGAGTCAGAATCTTTGTTGTGTGTCCCAAAATCTCGTACTGTAACCTACGGAAACATATGCTTTGGGAGGGTTTCGGCTACGATGTGGAATGGCTTACCGTCTGCTATTAGGAAGTCAAATACCCTGGCCAAGTTCACCTCTTCACGTCCGATTTAAGAATCTTTGCAAAGACGTCATGTAACTACCACCCTTTTATTTGTTTAATTATGTGCACATTGCTTGTTAAATGTATGAAAGTGTTTGCAAGCCTTTGTTGTTTGTTTTCACAATTATAACCATTACTATTATCCATATGTTGTAAAGCGCCTTAGATTTATTTTACAAATTATATAGGGCGCTATATAAATGTTGTATATTATTCTTATTATTATGTTAGTCAGGACTTGTTCTTATTAAGTTCGTCTAGATGGCGGTTCACCCATGATAGGTGGTGGAAAAAGATACCAAATCTAACCATATCTATTACTG